ACCATCTCAGCCTGGCCACATTTGATGATTCCGGACACACCATCTGCAGCCATCGCTCGTCCGCTGCCACACGCCGCCGAGTCCTCCGCCCTCTACCGCCCGCCGTCGATTGCCACATCCATTATTCCGCTTGTTGTCGACCACCTCCGTCGATTGCCGCAACCATCTCTCCCTCCGCCGTCGATTGCTGCATCCAATTCTCCGCCCATAGTCCACCGTCGATCGTCGTCCAATCCAAGATCCAGACGACACCTCAGCTGACGCATCCCCAATCCGGTCGAGTGCGACGGTGGACTTCAAGGCAAGAGCCACCAAGACGTCGGCGCGGAGAATATGTAGATTTGAGACGGCTAGATCTCGTCACCGGCATGAGAGGCAACTACGTGGCGGCGGACGAAAGATTTTTGTTCAGATTTTAAGGAATGGAGACCTTTTTTTTTCAGATTTTTGTTTGTTCAGTTTTGTAAATTGATGAACAAGGATTTAATTTTGTAAATTTGATAACATTTAGGGGCTTAATTACAATTTCAATAGTTTTAATAAATTACAATTGAGTTCTTGGGCGAATTTGTAATTAATCAAACGATAAAATAATATTTTAACATATCATTTAATATATAATATATTTTATAGTTTTTATTGAAATAAATATAGATAAAAAACAAATAATAATAAAAAATAATAGTATTTTTTATGTAGTCAACCGTTCGACTATCTCGATTATCTAAATAACTAAGACAATATAAAAAATAATAATTTTAATATAGTTTATTTTTTTCGATTATTTGAATATAAAATGACATCGTATCGAAATAATCGATATATAATAATAATAATAATAATAATAATAATAATAATAATAATAATAATAATAATAATAATAATAATAATAATAATAATAATAATAATAATAATAATAATATCAAACAACAATATTAAATTTTGTACTAATTTTTTGTTCGTCTGGTCTCGTTCGATTTTGTGCAATTTTGTAGATATTTATGTGCACTCCGTATAACCCTAATGTGCACTAGAATTACTTAAAAATTACAGATGGAAAAATATTATTGATTCCATAAAAAATATAAATAAATAAAAATAGCTATTTTTTCATATAGTTCTGTATATTTGGTTATTTTGTTTATTTAAAGAAAAAATTAAATCCGACCTTTAACGAACTAATATTATTCGGTTGATTAGTATAATTACTATAATTTTGGTTGTAATTTTGGTAGGTACAATGTGTTATTTTGTAAGGTGCAACGTAATGTGTTATAAGGTGCAATGTATTATTATATAAAGTGCAACTTATGGATACATGAAGTGCAATACCGAAGTTTTATTACGTTACCATCCTTGTGATTTTTTTTTTTTTGTTGTTGTTTTTTTTTTTGTGTGGAATGTGACGGATATTACAGTATATGGAGATCCGTTTTATATGTTTATATTGCATAATATTTTGTTGATAGCTGTTGACACTAATTAATTGCGGAGTACGATAATAAAGTGCAATGAGTTGTTTTATAAGGTGCAACGTGATGTTTTATAAAGTTCAACAATTTGCTATATAAAGTGCAATAATTTACACCTTTTTATATAAATTATGTGTATTCAAAAACTATTTTTAATATATAATTGTGGAGTGCGATGATAAAGTGCAATTTCACTAACACAAAAGTGCAACCAGTCGGTCAATAATGTGCAACATGCTCAATAATATATTAATATTTTATCTTATTTGTATTTAATATTCTTTTTATTATTTTAGGATTTTAAAAAATATATAGAAATAGTATAATGTTATATACTTTTTGTAAATTACAAATTTGACACAAGTGTTAAATTGAAATGTAAATAAATTTATTAAATTTACAATATTAGATTTACAAATTTCTGAAAACTACAAATTCAACCCATGAACTAAATTGTAATTTATTGAAATCTATAAAAATTTCAATCAAGCCCCTAGAAGATATCAAATTCTCAAAAAACAACCCCCAATTTTCAATCTCAGATCATGTTCTCTGCCACCTCAGCCCCATGTACTTGCCGCCGATGACTTCTTCTCCGATGGTGGACAACGGACGAACGGCGACCGCGACGGGAAGGAATGACGACCACGATGGGGACGGTGGCGGGCCGGAGGCGTCTTCACCCAGTACACTTGCAGACGGTTGAGCTCTGTGGCGGAGAAAGTGACAGAGACATCTCGGACAGTTCCCGACGGAGGGAGGACGACGTTAGAGCTCCGGCGCCGTACCAGACGGTGGTGTTTGGAGTGAGTCGCCGGCTGGCGGATGATGGAGGTCGACTTGTGGGATGGTGGTGTCGCGACCGCCAGTTCGTGCGTGTCTAGTAGCGGGCTCCGACGGCGGCGTTTCAGCGTGCTCCGACGGTTGAGGAAGATGGCAATGGCGGATATGCGGTCGTGCGAATAAGAGAAAGAGAGAGAGAGAGAGAGAGAGAGAGAGAGAGAGAGAGAGAGAGAGAGAGAGAGAGAGAGAGAGAGAGAGTTTGGGATTAAACAGCATAATTAGTGGATTTTTTTTTATTTTTTTTTTTTGCGATTATAATTATTGGATGTTGGTGCATGGGATTAGATGTCAGAATTAATTGGATTGTTGGTGTGTGAGACCCATTGATGTGGTAGATGATTAGTCAAAATGTCTATATTACCCTTAATGATGTTAAATTCCAGCTATTTTATCAACCATTAGATTGTTCAATCTGATGGTGGATATTTATTCTTATTTCCTTCACTAAACATCATTCTCATGTGATATATATATATATATATATATATATATATATAGAGAGAGAGAGAGAGAGAGAGAGATTGGATCACATGAGAATGGTACCTAGAGAATGAAATAAGAATGAATGTGGATCATTGGATCAGTCAATTCAATGGCCATGATCAAGTCAAACATTAATAATACAGTCAACCATGTAATGGCATTATGGTAAATAAATAGACATATTAATGTCAAATATTTGTATTTGACCACTCATTAAGGATAAATTGTCATTTGCTACAACTACAATTACCCGTGGGACCCATCTAAATTACTCACCACGTCACCCATCTCTCATCCCACACACCCGTGCCCCTCTCTCACACACACACAGATCACACACACGTTCGCGTACACATTACACACACTCTCGCACCAACGCCGGCCCCGACTCACACAGCCGCCATCTCCGCCACCCACATACATCTGTTCCGCCGCACGCAGACACCAGTTCTGCCGGCCCCGCCGTCTTTCACCACGGTAAGTTCGCCTGACTCTTGAAAAATTGAAAAAAGTAACAGCTCAAAAATCCCTCCGGCGAAGAGATTGAAGCGGCGACGGTGGGTCTGAACTTGAGATGGAAACCTGAGAGGGAAATCGCGGCGGCGGCGATGCGCTGGGGTTTTATTAGGGACGATTTTGGGATGAAGAGTTTTGGGGGATTTAATTTGGGTCGGTTAGGGTTTCAGAATGTGTGCAGAACCGTCGAGCGAGGGTAATGTGATGGCGGAGGCGGCGCTGGTGGTCGGGAAAGAGAGTATATACGTGTATGGAGTGAGGTTGACGGGGGCGGATGAGATGCGGGTGGCTGCCGACGGGATGAGAAGATGAGATGCGGCGGTTGGGCTGAGGGCAGAGGAGGACGCGAGTACTGACGTGTGCGATGTGGCCAGTGCTGGTGATGGCATGGGCGGCGGCGGAGGAAGTCGGTGACTGGACCGGCGGTTATGGTGGCTGTGGCTGTCCGTGGAAGGGCTACTGTGTTGAATGAACAGTTGGTGATTTGGGTTATGTTTTTGTAAATTTGATTTATTTTAGGGACTTAATTGCAACTTTTTTAAATTCAATATATTTCAATTTAGTATGTGAGACAAATCGGTAATTTTATAAAAGCTCAATAGATGCACATTAATGATTAATGATATATAAAATGCACAATCTTGTGTGAAAATATGCACATTATAAATCTCATTCATATTATTATGAAATCAAAATAATATTCAGGGCCTACATGTTTAAAAGTTCACGAGATCCAAAATAAAATGACTAAACCGAACTTT